CACAGTCCGGGAACCAACCTGTGAGCAGTCATGACAGGGATCTTTGTGTTTAGGCTTTCTCGGAGTCCTTATGTTCTGAAAGTGTCCGCTCCACGTCCAAGGTTTGGCTAGTTGAGGCAGATTTTCCGTGCCGGTTTGGGGTTTAGAGTCTATGACTTCGGGCTTTAGGGTTGCAGGGCTTGGGGGTACACCCTTTTTGTCAGCACCCGGAGACGCACCCTACACCCGAAACCCCAATGCCTAAACCCTAAACTACAAACCGAACCCCGACAGCCTAAAGGCCATAATCCTCCCCCCCTAAACCGTAAGACCTAAACCCTAAGCCCTTCTCTTCCTGGGTCGATTGCGAGGCACAAAATGGCAGCCGCATTGGCCGCTACGGCCCCAATGCCTCCTTGGGGGAGGTGGCGGTCTTAGGCCCGGCATCCCAAAGATAAACCCGAAATTACAATTTCAAGTTACGGGTTTGAGTTTGGGTAGAGTTCGAGGTTTAGATTCATCAGGTTTGGGGCATAAGATTTGCGGTTTAAGGCTTGAGGTTTTCAGGTTTTGGGTTTAGGGCCCCGCGCAGAAACCCGAAACCGAAAACGCTAGACCGCTAGACTCACTAGCCCAACCTCAGACGTTCTCTGATCAGGGCCGGGGGTTTTATAGTGTGTAGGGTTTACAGGGCTTATAGGGTTTATAGGGTTTATAGTGTTTATAGGGTTTATAGGGTTTATAGGGTTTATAGGGCTTATAGGGCTTATAGGGCTTATGGGGTTTAGGGTTTAGGGTTTGTAGGTTTTAGGGTTTAGGGTTTAGGGTTTGTAGGTTTTAGGGTGTAGGGTTTAGGGTTTATAGGGCTTAGGGTGTTGCACCTGCATGTCGGGAGTCTGGAGGGGAATTGGAACAGTGTAAGGTCCCCGGCGTTGGCTGAGATAGGTATACAAGCAAGTAACGAGGGTTCGAAGTTCCAAATAGGAATCACATACCTAGTTGTCGTGGCCCCTGCAGCATTACCAAAGCTAGAAAACCCTAAACCCTAAACCCGAAACCCAAGCTTTTTAACAAGGGGCCGTCAAGATTCCGGCCGGTCTTGCGTCCCACATGCTGAAGCTGTTGGGTTTGGGACGTGCGCGCAGCCCCAAACCAAAGCTTGAGTGTGATGGACCAGAGCCGTACTCGGAACATAAGAACAGCGGGTCGGTAGCAAGAAAAGGACCAGAGTGACAATCAAGAGCGACATATGGGCAAGCTATTCTATGAACATACGGCACGCCGGTGCTGATACCGTTTGCTCATTAAAGAGCAAAGTGTAGAAGCACCTGACACTTTGCAGTTCCCTGAACCCCTGGACCCTACCACCTCCGCTCCTTTGAAGCGACAGAACAACCAATGGGTAGTTTTCTAAATTAGGGTCCCTTTTGGGGTCCTTTTTATACGTGTGCCGTACTATATTGGGGACCCTAAAAAGGGACGGGGTCGTATTTGTTTTAGGTATTTTTTGGTGTATTTTTTTGTTTTTTGTGTGCTTGTGTGTCCCAGTACATACAACCTTGCAAGTACACATAAAATGTGTACATATATATATATATATATCTGTATATAGGTATGTGTATAGGTTATATTTTATTAAGTTATAGTATAACACAATATAATATTATATAGTACAATATATTTTAATATAATATAATGTTATACTATATTCTATTAAAATATTTTATATTATATTGTATTATATTGTTGCATATATATATATATACACATGTATATATATATATGTATGTATATGTATATGTATATGTATATGTATATACTTCTGTATATATTATATTACATTATGTTCTAATATATAACATAATATAGTATTTCAGAATATAATATAATATAATATAATATAATATAATATAATATAATATAATATAAAATATAATATATAATATAATATAATATATAATATAATATATAATATAATATAATATATAATATAATATATAATATAATATATAATATAATATATAATATAATATATAATATAATATATAATATAATATAATATA